CCTGGGACCCTTCAGTCCGCAAGCTGACGCTCTATCCACTGAGCCAAACCGGTTTCAGCATTAATATGGTATTTTAATCTAACCTATCTATTTCTGACTTTACTAGCTGGCCCAGTAATAGAGCATATTTTTATATAGAGCATAAATATCCTCTAGAGCATATTTTTGCCTCCACGAACGAGCCCAGGGCTAGAGTCACGCCTTGCAGTTAGTTGTCCTGTCTCTTTAGCCTCCTTTGATCTGGAACATGGAGAAAGTTTTCTTTTCAAGGCGATTCGTTTTCCACCCTATTTAAAGATTGAAAGCAGAAAGGGGAGTCCTCTGACAGCTGGTGAGAATGGCGGCTGAGTGCCTTGGAGCCTGTCAATGTGAACCTGATTCCCGTTTACACCGTTATTATTCCGATATGACTTTCGGTTCACAGCTCCGAGTACTTGTTAGACGCAAGCACCGTGCTGATGCTGGAGATTCAGAAGGAGACGGTGGGGGAGACAGAAAGTCAGCACTTAAATTCTGAAATAGATTCAGAGAATGGTCTCCAGGGCTATGAAAGGGAGAAGCCAGGGGGATACGATAAATATTGTAACTCTTGTGGGACGACCTCTCTGAGGAGGTGACATCGAGCTCAGGTTTGCACAGTGAAAAGGACCCAGTCATGTGAAAACCTGGTGGGGGCAGGGGGTGGCGCGTGAGTGTTCCAGGCAGAGGGAACAGCATGTGCAAAGGCCCTGAGGTGGAAAAGAGCTTGGGGAACTTGAGAAACAGTAGGGAGGTCAGTGTGGCTGGAGCAGAGTGACCGGGGACAGAGTGTAGATGAGGATGGGAGGAAGGCAGGAGCCAGAGCATGAGGGCCCGGCAAGGGTTTGAATTATTCTTAGCCAGGAAGTGTCAGCTCTTTTGAGCCTCCGTTTTCGATCTGTACAATAGAGTTCCCAATGGTAACGATTGCTTAGGGTTCTTATGAGGTTGAAGGAGAAAGATCGTGCAGTGGGCTTGGCCAGGGCTTGGCCTGCGGACGGTGTCCGGTACATGTGACTGGCTGTCACCTGGGAGATGAGCTGGGAGGGTGAGGCTCTGACTCTCATCCCCTGGCCCCACCAGGTTACCCCGGGTTTCCAAGCCACGACCTACGCCAGCAGGAGGTACACCCGGCCTCGCTCCCGGCTACACCTACCAGGTTCCCCGGTGAGTCCTGTTCGGTGTCTCTGCTGCCAGCACGTCCCTGGTTCCCAGGCAGTCTGACTTCTCAGGGCGGTGTGTGGGGGTGCATGGCTGGGGCTGGGGGGCTGCCTGCTGGATGTTTGGAAGGAAGGGCATGTCTGAGGAAGGAGCACCTCTCCCCACCTACCCCTTCCTCCCCCTCCCGAGAAGCTGGGGGTGGGAGCGCCAGCGTGGCCCTGCATGGCAAGTTCCCTCCCAGGCCGGCTCCTGTCTCTCCCCCCGGCCCCCC